TGGTTGGTTGGTTGGCTGGCCAACTGGTTGGTTGGTTGGTTGGTTGGTTGGTTGGTTGACTGGCTGGCGTGGTTGGTTGGCTGGTTGGCTGGCTGGCTGGCTAGCTGGTCAGCTGGTTGGTTGGTTGGCTGGCTTGGTTGGTTGGCTGGCTGGCTTGTTGGTTAGCTGGTTGGCTGATTAGTTAGCTGGTTGGCTGATTGGTTGGTTGACTGGCTGATTGGTTGGTTGGTTGGTTGGTTGATTGGTTGGTTGGTTCGTTGGTTGGTTTGTTGGTTGGCTGGTTGTTTTTTGAGATAGAGTCTCACTCTGGCCCAAGCTCAAACTCTTGATTCCCCTGCCTCAGCCTCCTCCATGCTGAGTTTACAAGTGTGCACCACCACATCCCATGTATTGAACACTTTGCTCCTGTCCTTCCCTTGGCCTCTTGTTCCCAACTTTCCTTCAGTTTTTGGCAGCAAGTAGTTTTTACAGAACTGTAAAAACACAGTTACAGTTACAGGCTCTGCAATGGGCCTATCTAGGTAGATTTTGAGCTTTGGGGAGATTCTGAGCTACAAGATGCAGTCTCTGTTTCTGTAAAAGCTTGCCTGAAGCCTCTTGCAGGGTGACCTGTTTACACCTTCCTGTGGTTTGAGGTTCGACTAGACCTCCCCTTGAGGATGAGACCACTTGGCCTCCCAGGGCTCAGCTTCCTAAAAGCAAGCCTAGATTTGAATACTCTCTACAGCCTCAGGGTCTTACTCAGCCAGTGTTGAAAAAAGAGATATGCCCAGAGGTGCTTCCTAGCCATAGAACATTAAGAACTGGCAGCAGTACCTGGGTCCTGGGAGGTCTGCCCTATGCTGTACCTGGTGGCCTTGCAGCTGGCCAAGGCTAAAAAGCCTTCAGGAGGCAGGAACAGGGAGGTGTTTGGCCGCATTCTCCAGCTGGGGACTGTGTATCTATTCTCGGGGCGGCCTTGGTGGCAATCTGTTTCACTCTGTAGAGGATTAGGTGACAGCTGAAGCCTCTCTTTTGCCACTCCAGGTTCCTGTGTGGCAAGGAGATTAAGAAGAAGAAATGCATCTTCCGACTGCGCATCCGTGTCCCACCCGCCCCTCCAGGAAAACTGCTTCCCGACAGGGCACTGATGCCAAGTGACAAAGGGACCTCTGAGCTGCTTCGTAAGAAAGGAAAGAGCAAGCCTGGGTCAGTGCTGGTGGGGTCCGTGGCTGCAGCCAACTTGGGTTCTCGGCCTAAGCTCCCACCTCCTGCAGATGCTAGAAGCTATGCAATGGCCCCAGGCAGTGTGGCAGCCCCTCTGTAAACCTGGAGTCCTAGACCCAGCAGGGTCCAGCTATAGGCACTCTGGGAGAGCTAGCGAGATGATCCTAGGTCCCTCTCACCACAGGCCCCTCACTTCCTAGCTCCAGGGAAGCCTGATCCTGGGACCCAGCACTGCTGCTTTAGGACTGGGCAGCAAGCGGACACAGAAGTGTGTGATAAGCCCTTGTTCTCCTGGCTGGGCAGAGCCTCCACTGGGGCAAGGAGGCGCCTCTCCTTTTTCTACTCTCTAAAACCCCACAATCACTGCCCCCAGAGGATGGCCTTCTCCCAGGTTCCTTCTACCCTGCCCCCAGAGGATGGCCTTCTCCCAGGTTCCTTCTACCCTGCCCAAACCCTCTGCTGGCCACTTCCCCCAGCACTCCTGAGGCCTTTCCCACTGAGCCTCTGCCTCTCCCTCCCCGGCTCTGACTGGGCCACCCTCTCCCTTTTCTGTCTCCACAGTTTGTTGCCTCAGGAATCCCAGCAGCAGAAAAGGCGAGTTTATAGAAGAAAAAGATCAAAGTTTTTGCTGGAAGATGCTATTCCCAGTGTTAGTTCCTGGTTTTCTTATTCTCCAGTTCCACGTGCAGGGGCTACACACATTAGGGGTCCTGTGCAGAAAATAATGCACTGTCCCCTACCCAAAGGGGCACCCCAATATCCTACTTCCAATTACAGAGAAACAAGGACGAGCCAGGCACCCTAAGACCACTATTGCCTTATCCTAACAAGTTCTGAGAACACGGGTTAGGGCAGGGGTAGATAATATCCCAGTTCCTGTCTGGGCAGAACAAGGCTGTGGCAAGGCAGCAACTTTGTAGATGGGACACTTGAGGCATTGACTGAGCCTAGAACCAGTTCTCAGACCACATTTTCCTTCTTTGATTATCCTTACTGGAACCCTCCTTGTGGATGACAGTGTTAACAGTGTGTCTCTGCACTCCAGTGCTTTACAGTTTGCAAAACACATTCACAATTCACAACCAAGATTGATTCCTAACTGCTTCCTGTGGCCCCCGGTAGAGCAGGCTCTGAGTTATTCCCATTTTGCAATGGAGGCAGCCAAGACTCAGAGAGGCGAATAAGAAATCAGGTGGCTGGAAAAAAAGTCAGAGTAGATACCAGGGTGACTTGGCTCTCTGCTCACAGAGTCCAGAGGAAGTGGCAGGTTTTACCCAAGGATTGGCAGCCCTCATAGTTCTGGCTGAACAGCAGGCACCCCTCAGCTAGGGAAAAGGCTGCTTGGGGAGAGGCGGGTCCGTTGGTCCGTTGACTGACCCTGTCTCCACTGTGTCCACAGAGTGACTTCACCTCAGCCTGGAGCACAGACCACCACCTGGCCAGTATATTCGATTTCACACTGGATGAAATTCAGAGTTTAAAAAGGTACCTGCTATTCTAGAACTGACAGTAAAGGGGCGCTCTACTCCCCAGCGTGAAGGAGGGACATATCCTAAAGGTGTGGACAAGCCCCTCATGGGTTTTCTGAAACTTAGCTGAAAGGTCCAATATGCACAGGGCTGCCTGAGAATTTTGTATGCTATAGCTTTTGGCATAGCGCCCCCTACCCTCCAAAGCAGTGGTCCGGGCTGACTTGCCTGCAGTACCACCTCTCTAGACCCCTCCACTGCCCCACATCTAAGACCAAAAGGGCTACGGCTGCCCTACTCTCACTGCTTCATCTGTGTTTATACTGAGCCCTCTTCCTGGACCACTCTGTGCCCTGCACTTCCCCAGCCAAAAACTCAGACCATTGCTTCCTCTGGGAAGCCCACACAGACCCTCCCAAGCTGTAAGCCTGCTTATATCTGCTCATATAAATATAAAATAGCCATGTTTGGGTATTTGAAGGGCAAAAATTTCATCTTTTATCACTCGACTCCCGAACTCACTGAAGACCATGCTGTCTTGGTCCTGGATCAGGAAGGGGAGGGGTTTAGAGTCAGACAGGCGCTTTAGGCCATTCTTACCAGTTCTTACTATGCAGCACTAGCGGACTCTGTTAATCACCCAACCGCCTCATTTCTCCCACTTTGAATCCGTGAAATTTTGTACAACTGCCCATTGGCTCATGAACTGTGTCACCAGCGTGTCTGTTGCCACGGGAGAGTGGTCTGGGAAAGTTTTCTTGACTCAGCTTTCAAGAATGAATGGTAGAAAACAGGACAGACAGATATGGGATGAAAATCTTGGCAGTGAGGAGTTGGGCCCTGCTGGGATGGAGGACGCCTGTCAGAGACAAGGAAGGTGGAGAAGCTCCACGGTCCTGGGCCAGGCCAAGAGCAGGCTCCTCTTCTCTCCTCTCAGTGGCAGCTCAGGCCAGACCTTCTTCTCAGATGTGGATTCCACTGATGCTGCCAGCACCTCCGGCTCTGCCTCCACCAGCCTCTCCTACGACTCCAGGTGAGCTTCCTGAGGGTGTAATCTGTAGCTTTGTGTGGGACAGTGGTCCTCAGCCTGGCCATTCCCTACTGCTGGATGCAGACTTATCCTGCACTTCCAGGTCTTCTGTGACTGAGTCTGCTCTGGACTCTCTGTTCCAAAGCACCAGGGTGACAGTAAGGTTGCTGTGAGCCCTTCTGTTTGTGAGCTTCTTTGCCTGCAATGGTTATAGTGATCCCTCTAGTCTATAGACCCAGTTCTAGGACCATTTGATTAGAGAGGCCGTTTCCTTAGGGCTTCTTGGCATCCGTGTGTCATAACTGTGTGTCATCTGTGCCTTGGACTGCAGAGCTCCTGTTCTCAGTTCCTGGCTATCTGGTTTATATCCTAGGATCTTGAAGAGAAAATCCATTTCTTTTAAGCAGAGTAGAAGGGCAGACTGTGAGGTCTGGCTGAGAGTAAAGCCTGGTTTACTTCTGGGCACAGCCCCCTCTGCTTGTGCACATCTGTGTCTGGGAGCCTTCTCTGTTGTTGCCTCTGTAGCTTTAGGAACCAAGCACAGGGCTTTGTGCTTACTAGACAAGTGATCTATCACTGAGCTATACTTCTCCAGCCTTCCTGCTCCCTTGCGTTCTCACTATGCCTCCGTGTCGTGGCATCTGTTAACAGGCAGTTAACACATGTTAACACCTCTGCCTGCACAGTACAAGGTCCTTCGGTTCCTGTCCCTATGTAGCTCACCCAGCTCATACAAGGAAGGCCTCTGCACTGTGGGACTTCAGAAGCACACACAACAATGACCCAACCTTCCAGATACAGATAGCATATGCTTCAAAATTGAATATGCCCAAGTTGGAATCCTGGCCTTCATACTCCCCAGCTGATGTCTTCTCTGAAGCCTCAGTTTCCCAATTACAGGACTACTCTGAAGTTCCAACAAGATAATCAAAGTCCCCAGGGTGCAGCCTCCTCACTGGTAACTAAGAGCCTCATCCCCATCATTCCCCTCTTCCTTCCTGATACAGATGGACAGTAGGCAGCCGCAAGAGGAAGCTGGCAGCCAAAGCGTACAGGCCCCTGCGGGCAAAGCATCGGGTGGCTGAGCTGGATGGGCGCTGTGCCTCAGACAGCAGTGCAGAGGGAGCTCCGGTCCCTGAGCAGCAGGATGAAGGCATCGACAGCCACACACTTGAAAGCATCAGTGGAGATGATTCCTCCCTGTCTCACCTCAAGTCATCTATCACCAACTACTTTGGTGCAGCCGGGCGGTTGGCCTGCGGGGAAAAGTATCGGGTGTTGGCGCGGAGGGTCACTCCAGAAGGCAAGGTTCAGTACTTGTTGGAATGGGAGGGGACTACCCCTTACTAATTACCCCCTCAGAGGCTGCCCAGATCCATGCAAACCAAAGGAGGGACAGAAGAGGCCACTAGGTCCCTGTTTTCTCCAGGCTTGGGGTGGTGGAGGGAAACAGGACATCCTGGCTGCAGCCCCTGCCTGCTGCCTGCCAGGCCAAGGCCTGTGTGCTGCTGTACCAATTGCCTGAGTTTCTGAGACCCCAACTGGCTCTCTCTCCCTCTCTCGTTCTCTATACTACACTCCATACCCCTCAAACTTTTTATTGGTTCCTCTCACAGTACCCTGGCTGTGACCCCTGATCTAAGGCCTGAATATGTTTTTCATTGTCCCCAATTATCCATCTTCTGACCTCTCACCCCTTTCAGGTATTTTGTGTGGACACACATCTTCCATGCACACATGCTCATCTGTCCCTCACTGGGACCACAGTGAGGGAAGGGAACCCCGGGAGTCTTCTACTTTCTCACTAGTACCCCTCACGCCAGGAGGGTAGGGATGCCTGAGGAAGTTTAGGATGCCTGGGACCCAGAGCCTGGAGAGTGATGAGCTGGGTCTCTGCTGAAGGGACTGGAATCAGAGTCCTTTATTGAGGAGGGGAGGGGAGACTAAGGGAATCTGGGCCAAGGCTCCCAGATGTTAGCAACAACCCTTCACTGTTGTCACAGACTGGGTCTCGCTTTGCTGCATAGACATGTTCTTAAACACATAGATCTGAGAGGATTGGGAGGAAAACCAGGCCAGATTCAATCCGATCCCAAACACTGTGTGTACAGACACACACCACCACATATTCCTGCCAGGGCCCCCTGGCTCCTGTCCTTGGCCTTTCCCAAAGATACATGCTCCAGTTAAATGTGAAAACCAAACTCCTGCCTCCTCTGGTCTGTGAACCAGCCTTGGTCCCACCGAGAAGCACAAAGACACCCCTCTCCTGCATGGCTCCTGCCTTGCCCTGGAGCTGACAATCACTTTTGGGGACAGGCTGGGGGGTTTTCAAGGGCCTGAATCATTGTTTCCCTTTAGAAAGGAAGTCTTTGTCATCGATGGTACAAATAGAATTTTTAGAATGGACAAACTCAGCCGAGTCTGGAGGGAAACCAGAACTAAGAGGTGGGCAGGGAGCCCTTATTTTGTCTACAAAAACAGAAGCTGACTCGTTCGGTTGGAAAGATAGAAAGAAGTGCCTTCAGGGTGGGAGGCAGGGAAGGGAGGCAGGGTGGGAGGCAGGGCAGCAGGCTGGGGCCAGCCTCCCTGACTGCTGCTGTGGCTTCCAGCTGGGAGTGGGAAGATGGCCCGCATGGTGACATCAGACTATATCAATGGCACTGATTTTCCCATGACTGGGTTTGACCCCTCCATGCCTGCCTGTGAGCATTAAGTGGGGTTCCTGTGGTAGGTTAGATGGCCCCTGCCTTAAACCTCAGCAACCATAGTGCCTTGCAAAGGAACCTCGCCTCTCACTAGACACAGCTACCAACTTCCCTCTGCTTCTCCATCTGGCTCAGGCAAGGATAAGCAGATGGACACTGAGCCCGGTTGTCAGCCCACAGCTGCTGCCGCTGAGGTCCCCAAGTGGGGCCTGGTGGAAGGAGAGTTGTGAAGCCAACTCCCAGGCCAGCAGGCCTGTGGGAACTGGGGTCAAATTTGTGGCTTCCTGTTGGCTTCAGTGAGAATGGCAACCTCCAACATGTGTTTTCCAGGCTACTGGGGAACCCAGAGAGCTAGGATGGTTATTTGTACATCTGCCCCTCCCCTGCTGTGCCCCAGAAGCTCTGGGCCTGAGCAGCAGGAAGGCAGGCAGGGTGCTCATCCTGTTGGGGAAGCTAGCACAAGGTCTGACCAGGTCACGGGACCCCCCATGGCAGCATTTCACTCCTACAAGATAATAGCTGCATTACTGCCAACTGACAGTATAACTCTGAGCACCTTTGAAAAGATTTTTGTTTTAAATTGCTGCTTTTAATAATATTTGTTATATTAAAGTTATAATTGATATGTCTGGTTTACAACATAAGCGTGTCCTTGGAGCCATCTGTGGGTACTTTTCTTGGCTTCCTAAAGTTTAGGCAGAGGCTAGCGAGGCCAGCCATCTGGCCACCCAGCCCCCCGCCCCATCCTCTGCACCTGTGCGCTCTCAGCAGTGATCCCCTATTGCCCCTAGGGAATGTGGAACTTTCTCTCTCTGCTGTTGAGTAATAGCAAACATTCACCCTTAGGATTTAGGAATAAATTAGAGTTCTCAGGAAGTCCCCAAATCATGTTAGCCTTAAAATATTTTGCTCTTCCCATTCCTCTCCTCATTATTATATTTACCTGAAAACTGTTGACTAAAGAGGCATATTATGCCTTTTTATTAGTACTAATAATGGAGGACCATAGGCTCGGGATTAACCATAAAGCCCGGAGAGCGCCAGAGAGCATTGTTTGGATAGTGTTCTAACTCATTGGATTTCCTACCTGAACGGCACAAAAGACCAACCTTCTGTCTGAATTACCAACTTAAGAGTCCCTTTCGCTTCTCAAGTTTACTTCATGCAACACCGCTCTCAGAGTTTGTATAAAGCATACACTGTGTATATAAAATTATTTGCAAGAAAAACTCGTCAATAGCAGCAGACTGGCTGACACGGCAACAGCCTAAACCAAGGCCCATAGATTAGATGGTGGTGCTTTCTCCTCTGCATGCTGCTGGCCAGGCTCTGTCTTCAGTTCCACACTACAGTGTTACCACTGTTATTCTTTACTTGATGAAGGTGGTTTGGTTTGGTTTTGAGATAGGGTCTCCCTTTATAGCCTAGTCTGGCCTTGAACTCAGGGTTGCCCTGCCTTAGCCTCTGAAGGGCTAGGATTATTGGGTCCACCTTCACAGCCATATGCATGGATTCTTTTAAAGCAGTGGTGCTTATGTCTAGTAAGATTTAGCAGTTAAAAGATAAGTTTTTACTCATTTCTACAGTGGTCTTTTTTAGAGATTCTAGAAATCCTAAGAAATGCTGGAAAGGAATTCCCATGTGTAGACGCTAGTTTGGGACCCACCAGTGTCTTCCATAGCTGCATTCTGGGAGGACAATGTAGGACAGTGGCAGGTCACTGAACTCTACTCTCCCTTCATCCATGGAGTGGGTTACACACTCCAGATCTGTGGTAAGGAAGAAACACCACAATGGATGTACAAATGTCAGGCTGACTAGCAGGTGTCTGTGGGGGACTGACTAGCCCCTTTGAATAAAAAGTAGGAGGATGCTAGGTTTTGACTCTGACTCTAGTCCACATCCTCACGGTCCCCTTAGGTGGCTCATGCCCTCTGGCAGGATTTCACCAGTAAAATGGTGATAACGAATAAGCCTAACTTAGCAAGAATAAGAGAGGAAGCTTCCTAAACAGTTCAGTAAGCATTCCTCTCTGCAATTTCCTGCACACCGAGGCAAAGATAGGCCACCAAGGAAGGTTATGTTGATGACATACACAGCACAGAAAACAAATCAAAAACTACAGGTATAAAAGTCTCTTGGATTTTAAGAAAAAATTAGATATTTTGCATATTTCATATCGTAAAAGTAAATTGATGGTGCAGAGACAGCTTTGTTTATTTAAATCTTTGAAACTGAAATGTCAACTTGGGAAATAAATTCCCAGGCTTGGGCAAGAGATAAACAAGATTCAGACAGGCCTCTGACCTCCAGCCCAGGAGAGAGGCTTTTCAAAGGTAGAGGGGACTTCATGAGCACTGGGATGGTGCCACAGAGGGATGACACTTGTGATGAAAAGGACGGGGTTCTGAAAGGAAGTCCTAGAAACTGGATTTTATCCAAAAAGCAACATGATCCATCTGGGGTCATTTTAAGTAGGTTTTTCAAGACTTGTGAATAACTCAGAAACTGAATTTTTAAGACCAAGGGCATCTCCACTCCTCAGCCCTCAAAACCACCAGTGGAATTCTCTGGCCCTTTGGAAGGCCATTCAGCCTACAGTCCTGATCAGGTTTTCACAGGTGGGCCCTTGGAGACCCTTTGCCATCTGGTATTTGGGGACATCAAGGTGGAAGACACACACCAACTAGAATTAGAATGTGGCTCTATTTGGTTTATGTAAGCCCACCCCTTTCCCCACTGCCATAGAGGAGACCAGGACACTACAGCTGTCTGTATCCCAACTCTACCTGTGGTCCGCCCATTGTGGAGTTAGCTTGTGAGAGTCATAAATGGAGTTTGTTTCAACTTTTCCTTTTCACAGCCTTGGACTCAGCATCCCCACCTTCCCTGTTCTCTTCACCAGAGATGCCTGGGACCAGTGTAGAAGATACCAGTCTAGTCCATACCTCAGCATGGTATAAAAAACCACGGCTAGACTAGGTAATTCAATATGCCCTCTTTATGAAATTCCATGAAGTGCACTTTTTTGTGATAATGCATAAAACAGGGAAAATCACAATAGTGATTTATAAACTTCTGACAGCTTCACTTTGGATGTGGGTGATGGCTACATTCCTCAAGAAGTTCAGGGGTTCCTCTGTCAACCCCAGAAGCTTTGGCCAATTGATCCAAAAAACACTGGCCCAGAAGGTTCTCAGGGCTCAGAACCTACAACTCCAGGATATTTGTATCTATTATATTAAACCCAGTAGAAAAAAGTAAAGACTTACTCCCAATCCAAGAGTTTGTGTTGAAGGCCTAATATCCCCCTAGTCTATATAGGCTCAAGCACCCCTTACCCAGCTTCCCCTCTGCAAGATTCAGGAGCAATAAATTCTGCTGACTCCTGAATTCTACCAGGACAGTTGTTTTGAATACAGCCCATATCAATTGCTTTAGAAGATAGCTTTCCCACACATGCCTAGATGAGCAAGGTCACCCATCCCCACAAGAAACAGAGGAACAATTACACCCTAGGTTCTTTCTGGTCAGCCCAGAGCCTGAGGATGAGGAGGCTTGCCCTCACTGCTGCCTCCCTTCAGCCCCTCCTCCTTACCCGCACACTCTCAGGCCACCTGCAAACACACAGCACTCAGGAACAGGTTCCACTTGGTTCTTGCAGGCCTGATTGACCTTCACTTCCAGCCTTGAAATTCTCAGCCCCTCATTCAGCATGTACAGGTCAGCTAGAACCTGTGTGCTGTTAGGAACACTCTATGGGAGGCAGAAGGAGGCCTGCTTTTTCCCAGAGCACAGTCAACAAAGGCTAGAGCCAGCAGCCTGCACAATAAGTTTCTCTCTCTCCTTAGTTCTCCTTCATGCCCTCCTCAAGCCATTTTAAATAGCGAGCATCTCCTTGGTCCATGGGAATACTGAAGACCTCTGGGATTTCAAAAGGATGAGCCAACCTTTGGAAAGAAAGCAGAACTCCAGTGAGTGACTATGATAGGATCAATCTACATGATAAAACCCAACTCATAGGCTCTCCAGAGGCCCATACAATCTGCTGCCGTTCACTGCTCAATGCCATGGCCCAGCCTGCCTGAGCCTGTTTCCCATTCAACAGGTACTGGGTTGGCTCGGGTGCCTTTAGAGTCTTAGAGATATGGGTTCAAATTCTATGCCTGTCCTTACTAGTTCTACAACTACTGGACGAATCATTTAGTTGCTCAGAACATCCTTACAAAAGGGTATAAAAACATGTGAAAACATACCTTTTGACTGGCTCGCTAAGGACTAGCTAAGACAGGGTGTGCAAGCACCTAGCTAGTGACCAGGACTGCACACACTCATGTTCACTACTCTTTCCATCGTCATCCACTCACATTGCTGCATCTTCCTGCCCCTTTTCCAAAGCCTCTATAAGCCTTCCTACCTATAAAGTCCTCAAAAGTCCTATAAGTCCTCACTGTTCCTGCTGATCAGCCATAATCCCCTCTCTTGAGCCTCTCGGCCAAACAACTCCTGACTTTCCCATGGGGCCCTAACTGACAAGCCTGGCTCAGGTGCCTGCCTCTCTGTTCTGTTCACCTGGCACACACAATGCCAGTTGTCTACACACCCATCTCTTGTGTGACAGCTGAGGGCAATAATTATTTTCTTGCTATCTAATCAACTTAGAGACATTGCAAAGTTCCCAAGAGATACCATGTTTAACTGTAGTATGTTTATAAGTAGTGTGGCATTCACAGGACTGTTTTATTCAGAACCTGAGATTTTCAACTTAATGAACTTCATGTTATTTCATGGACACCGAGGCCAGAATCTTTTTTTTTAATACACAGACATAGAATTCAAAGAATCTGAACTTTCTTAACAGTAAGTTGAACTGTTGAAACTCTTCATAAGTATGCTTCATGTATTCTAATATATATGACAACCTGTGAACTGTCCCTCACAGGTTTCGATTTTGGTTCAACCAAGCTGCCTCATCCCCTCACCTCTGCTGAGGTGGTAATGAAAGAGCCTTCTCTGTAGTTAGAACTGACACTCAGCTACAGCCATATGGCCACAAACTCCTAGTCTCTCTAAGATGCGAAGGCAATGAGTTTTATCACACAGAATAAGGGTTTGTAGCCCAGGCTGCATATTACAGTCAACTTGGGGTGCTACTTAAGAATACTGCACTTGATCCACACACCAAAGTCAGAATCCATGAGGCAGAACTTATACTGGACATTTGAAAGGTAATTCCAAGTGATCTATCACATTGTCAACACTGAGACTGCTAGTTAGACGTGTGCTTCAGATGTTACCATGGATCAGAACCACTGAAAACTTGTTCCTTTTAGCAGGTCTGAAATGACGTAAGATCCCATCTCCAGTACTAGGGCACTTTTTTATTGCCAATGAAAAAAATCATTTGCAAGCTAAAGTTCTAAATTTTGAAACCTTGAATTTATCATTGTAAACTTAAAACTGTCCCTAGCAACTATCTTATTAAGTCACAATTTCCAGAATGCAAATGATGCCATTTTCTCATTAATTTCTTGGTTTTGAAAAAATATGACTTTTCATAAAAATCCAGTGTTTGTGTTATTAATATATAATGGTTTTATTATTATCCTAAATAAGCAAAAAACAGTTTTCAAAATCCATAGCATTTATGACTTTCATGGACTTCATCAAAGTCTTGAGGACCTCAGGAGTCAAGAGACTTCGCTTTGTGGACCACTGATATGAACCACTAAGACCCCAAGTGTGAGCTTCAGGACTGCAGTGCTGGAAACTAGCAGGAAGTTAACCCAGACTGCTGTTGAAAGTCTGAACTGTTTTAAAGTATGAAGAGGCCCTGAGACACATATTCTGAAACCTCCAGTGTAAATGATGCCACTCTACTTTCCAATGTCCAGATGGAAATCTGAGACAAAGAGGAGGACAGGAGTCTTATGGAAGGCAATGGCTGAAATCCAACTCTCTCACCTCCCAGGTTCCTTTGCTCAGTGCCTAGAATATCCTGACTTGGTCCTGTGGTAAATGAACCTTACCTCATATAGGCGAACAGTCGGGAGACTTTGGAAGTCTTTGTCTTTATTAGCTGTGACAAGAAGAAAACTAGTCAGCAATTTGAGATCTGAACCATTCATTTAGCCATTTAGCATTCCCCCTGGGTCACCAGGCCAGGTCTCTAGCTTGTTAATGAGCCTCGGACATCTTAGGTGGAGTAAGAACCTCAATCAGTTGGCGCTAATTTTTTTTCTTCTGTGGGGATCAGACTCAAGGCCTCCTGCATGTAAGGAGTCATTGCTGGGCTACACTCCTACCCTCATTGCTAATTTCTAAGAACATCCTGGGAAAAGGCTCTGACGTCATGTATTCTCCCATTAAAACCTCCTTTGTCCAAACCTCACTTACCAACGAGACCTCGGTGCCTTCTTCTATTTCTCCTTTCCAAAAGTACCTAGAGAGAACAAAATCAAACTATAATGCTCACAAAAGGAGCCTGGCGAGTTGTCAGTCTGGACCAAGTAGGTAAACTACTGAATATTTCAGTAGTTTCAGAATCTTTCCCAGTCCCCTGTGTTGGCTGGTTTATGTCAACTTGACCCAAGCGAGAGTCGTCAGAAAGGAGGAAGCCTCAACTGGGAAAATGTCTCCATAAGATGGGCTGTGGGCCAGATTATAAGGCATTTTCCTAATTAATGATGTTTGGGGAAAGGCCCTGCCCATTATAGGTGGTACCACCCCTGAGCTGGTGGCCCTGACTTCTATAAAAAGGCAGACTGAAGTCAGATGGTGGTGGCACACGTTTTTATCCCAACACTCAGGAGGCAGGGGCAGGCAGATTTCTGTGAGTTTGAGGCCAGCAAGGTCTACAGAGTGAGTTCCAAGACAGCCAGGGCTACACAGAGAAACCCTGTTTTGGGATGGGCTTAGGCAAGAAGGCAGGCTGAGCAAGCCATAGAAAGCAAGCCAGTAAGCAGCACCCTCCACGGCCTCTGCATCAGCTCCTGCCTCCAGGTGCCTGCCCTGTGTGAGTTCCTGTCCTGACTTCCTTTGACAGTGATATGGAACTAGAAGCCAAATAAACCCTTTCCTCTCTAACTTAGTGTTTTGTCACAGCAATAGGAACTCTAAGACAGCCACACAAAGACGGCTAGAGTTCTTGAAGACAACTACCTAAGATTTCACATAAGGTCTTCCCTTCCTTCCTTCCTTCCTTCCTTCCTTCCTTCCTTCCTTCCTTCCTTCCTTCCTTTTCTTCTTCCCTTCCTTCTTCCCTCCATTAACCCTTCCCTCCTCTTGCTTTTATTTTATGTATGTCAGTACACCATTGCCCTCTTCAGACACACCAGAAAAGGGCATTGAATTCCATTACAGATGGTTGTGAGCCACCATGTGTTTGCTGGGAAATGAACTCAGGACCTCTGGAAGAGCACCCAATGCTCTTAACCACTGAGCCATCTCTTCAGCCCTCCTCTTGCTTTTCTTGTTATGCTGGAGAGCAAACCCCAAGGTCTACATGTTAGGCAAGCAAGCACTTCACAGCTGAGCTATATAATAAGCCCCTAGAGCAGTGGCTTAGCCTTCCCAACACTGCGACTCTTTAACACAGCTCCTCATGTTGTGGTGACCCCCCAACCACAAAATCATGTCATTGCTATTTTATAACTGTAATCTTGCTCCTGTTATGAATGATAACATAAATATCTGATATGTAGGCTATCTGATATAGAGAGCAAAGGGGTGGAGACCCATAGGTGGAGAGCCATTGCTTTAGAGACTGTACGAAAGATTCAAAAATTTGAGCCTCACCCTCAGAGAGACTAATTTGACAGACTAGGCTGAAGCTTAGAGATCAAAATTAAAGCCAAGTTGAGGAGCCATGCTCAGCATGGTGTCAGAGCAACTGAGCAAACACTGTGGCATTTCCCTCCTTTTTCTATACACAGCGCTTTTGGGGTTTTGGGTTTTGTTTTTTTGTTTGTTTGTTTGGGTTTTTGTTGGTTTGGTTTGGTTTGGTTTGGTTTGGTTTGCTTTGGTTTGGTTTGGTTTGCTTTGGTTTGGTTTGGTTTGCTTTGGTTTGGTTTTGCTTTCCTTGAGTTATATAAACTGGTGAATCTCTGAATGCAGGTCAACTGTTACATGTTGATTAAATATTCTCTGACGGGTGGCCATTTGTTCCTTGCTCTCTCAGTCATCCAGGAGCAAACCTTATCACCCCCAATTCCCTACCACTGGCCTTGGCAAAACTCACAACGAAGAGATCTTAGGCAAGATGTTCACAGACGAAGCCATCTTCTTATCCAGGATGGCCCTAGAGCAAAGAAAAACCAATCACTGGAGCAAGTCCAAAGTCTTAAGAGACAGGCTGAGAATTGCCCAAAATATCTGAGTGTAAGGACAAAAGCATTCAGGGTGTCCCTCCTCCACTACAGCATAGCCCTAAGGATTCTTATGTTGGAAACTGGATCCTGGGAGTCTTGTGCTAATGATGCTGTAGGTGAGGACACCGGGAAGGAATTAACTGAAATAAAAATTCTCAGATGGGGGCTGCTGCTGTGTTCACTTAGGCAATGCTAGGAGAACCACAAAGACTAAACAGCAGTCGAGCTAGCAGCACAAAATATGCACAGTATGCTTCAGCTGAACTCAGCCAAGTGGCTGCACAAGGCCTGTGGCCCACCCACTATCCTAGTGCATCCAGGAAGCAGGGCATAGAATCAAGGAATTTTTTTTTTTTCGAGACAGGGTTTCTCTGTGTAGCCCTGGCTCTCCTGGAACTCACTCTGTAGACCAGGCTGGCCTCAAACTCAGAAATCCGCCTGCCTCTGCCTCCCAAGTGCTGGGATTAAAGGTGTGCGCCACCACCACCCGGTTTAGAATCAAGGAATTTAACCTGAGCCTTCAGAACTCAAATGCTATTGGATGTTGGACTTACATGGTGTTCTGGCTAGTTTTATGCCAGATTGACATACACTATAGTCAGCTGAGAAAAAAGAACACTCCATTGAGAAAATGCCTCCATAAGATGGGCTGTGGGCCAGCCTACAGGACATTTTATTAATTAGTAATGGATGGAGGAGGACTCAGCCCATTGTGGGTGGGGCCATCCCTGGGCTGCTGGCCCTGGGTTTTATAAAGAAGCAGGCTGAGTAAGCCATTCGAAGCAAGCCAGTGAGTAGCACTCCATCATGGCCTCTGCATCAGTTTCTGCATCCAGAAACTCCAGTTCCTGGCCTGTTTGAACTCCTGTCCTGACTTCCACTAATAATGAACAGTGATGTGGAAGTGTAAGGTGAATAAACCTTTTCCTCCAGCACTTGCTTTTTGGTCACAGTGTTTAGTCACAGCGGTAGAAACCCCAAGACACGTGGGACCAGCTATTCCTTATTTCTTGCTTATTTCTCTCTTTGGAAATGGGAATGTCTGTCCTATGCCTGCTCCTCCATTGTACTTTAGAAGCAGGTAACCTGTTTGATTTCACAAGCTAGTGAAGTCAGGTTGCATCGGTGTGGTTAGAGTCTCAGCCAAATCTGATTCAGGGGAAACCCTGGACTTTGGACTTTTGAAATGATGCTGTAGCTAGTTAAACTTTAGTGCTATGGGGATAGAAGGACTGTGTTTTACATGTAAGGTCACAAACGCTGAGGACTAGAGGCAGATTTCTATGATTTGAGCATGTCCCCAGAATTCTTGTGCTGGGAATCTAATTCCATAATCATATTGATGAATTTGGAGAGAGAGCTTTTAAAGGATGGTTAGTGAGCTTATGAGGGTGAGCTCCCATGATGGAGTTAGTGGCTTCATAAGGAAGAGAAACGGGGAGTCAGTATGCTCTCTACTGCCATGGGATGCCCTGTGCCTTGTAATAATGTAGGACTGTCAGATACCAAGCAGCATGCTTCCGGACTTCCCAGCTCTACCGCTATAAGATGAAATAAATCTTTATTTATAAATCAATGGCCTACCCTATGACATTTAGTTACAGCAACAGAGTGGCAGGTATCACACCACCCTCAGACCTGCATATCCTGTAACTACACACATAGCCTCTGAGGACACAGAGAGGCAACTATGAGGAGGCCGCTCTGAGGGAGGCCCAGTGTGCTGTAGGAATGACTGACCCTGGGCCTGCAGAAGACAGGCCTAGGCTCTGCCTGGCTTTCCTGCCCGAAACGAATACCTGTACCTGCTCAGAGACAGACAGCTCTCCTGTCTACCTTACTAGATGAAAGACTGGCCTAGCCAGTGGTTTCTAACATTGTTCACTACCGAAAGCTCCTTTCATAACGCCACTGCTAACTCTGCCATGTACCCAGCTGACCTGTAGATTCCCATGTGACCAACCATAAAGAATGCATACAATTTCAAGCAGAAACACATTAGTCAGTGGTTGTTTCAGCAAGTAAAAAGGTTTTTTCAAGTTTTTTTTTTTTTTGGTGTTTTTGTTTTCTGTTTTAAAGGTTTCTTACCACAACCTCAAGAGCTTGGAACCAGGACAAAAACCGTACCTGAGCCCTACTCACGGGTCCTTCCTTTCCTCTGCTGTTCCAAGGAGAAGGCTGTGAAGTCTGGTTTCTTTGGAAAGTCAGCTATGTCAAATGATGTTTTGCTGGGGCACACAGGTGAAAGGATGTTTTGCTACAGCAGACTTGTTTAAGGATGCGTGATGTTCAGAAGGAATATAACTATGACCTCTCAGACAGTGGGGCTTGAGCACTGGTTTGCCTTGCTCTGCCTCCCTATTCTTTGCTAACGACACACATGAATTGGCTCTCCTGACATTGTGTTGCTGAGCTCCGCTTGTGGTGACGCCTGAGAGAGAAGCTTGCCAAAGAATTTCTTGTGAGGTTCCTGTGGCTTCTTGCCACTTCTGTAGCCTCGGGCTGGTTGGTGAGCCCTTGCTGGTTCATATGTGGTGTCTGCTGAGAGGACGGGACTGCAGTTGCTGATTTGTATCTGGTGTTTGCTACTGGACTGAACTGCTGATATCCTGGCAATGAAGATTGGACTCGCCCCCAAAGAACTATTTTTAACCAGGTCTACTACCCCTGTGTCCTGATAACCTTTCTTTTCCACTACCTCAGGTGGGTGGTGGGCTAGAGGGCAGGTTGAACACTTATTAAAGTAGGTGAGAAAAGAATTATGCCTGCAGGGCTGCTTTCCTTTCCCTGCCCTTGAGCCCCAGGCTAAGAGTACTGTACTTAAATTTCATGTTAGGATCACCTCATTGCCATCAACTATGGTGGCTGCTTTGACACATAAAACAGACCCGTTCAGAGGCAGGCGGATTTCTGAGTTCGAGGCCAGCCTAGTCTACAGAATGAGTTCCAGGACAGCTAGGACTACAGGACTACACAGAGAAACTCTGTCTTGAAAAACAAAAAAAAAAAACAAAAAAACAAAAAAACAAAAAACAAAAAAAACAAAACAAAAAAAACCCAGAGCCGTTCACACATCCTCATCAAGGCTTGCCTGCTCAACTGCCCACTGGAAAATTTCATTTTGGGGGTAGCATACAAATAAGAGATGGGGGAGAAGAGAGAGAAAGAGAGAGAGAGAGAGAGAGAGAGAGAGAGAGAGACCTCTGATCACAGCCATCTGTACTCAAGTAACAGACTACAAAACTATGGAGAATTTTTATGCAAAAAAAAACCCCCACAACTGCCAAAAAAAGAGAGAGTAAAGAAGGAGAGGAGGAGGGAGAGGAAGAGGAGGGACAGGAAGAAGGGGAAGAGAAGGAAGAGAGAGAGGAGGAGGGAGAGGAAGAGAGGTAGACTGGTTGAACTCCATCTCAGACAGAGCAGGTACACAAACACGGCAGACCACTGAGTCATGCCCATGTAGCTCAGACCCTCGGAAACTTCAGAAAGAAGAGAGCCAGGCACACAGAGGTCACAGATAAGATACATGGTCTGGCCCTCTGAGCATTTACAAAATCTTGACTTTGTTACCAATATTTAATATCAGGGTATTTTATATTCACAAGAACACAGATTATCTGGATCCTCAATTCCAAATGGGTCTTAGCACATTCCACATCTGTCCAGCTGAGCTGAGCTGAGTTCCTGCCTGTCTTCTGCAGGCCCAGGGTCAGTTGTTCCCACAGCACACTGGGCCTCCCTCAGAGCGGCCTCACAGATGCCTCCCTGTGTCCTCAGAGGCTATGTGTGTGGTTACAGGATATGCAGGTCTGAGGGTGGGTGTGATGTCACCTAAATGTCACAGAGTAGACATGACACATGATTCCTGGGTCAACACACTCCCTTTCCTCCTTCCCCCAACACCCAGGGAGGACAAAGTTTGCTGTCTGCCATTCTCTTTCACTTATACCTTAAGCCAACTTGTCAATCTGTCTGCTAAGTGTTTGTAATTGTAACCCTAATCTCAAGATCCTTCTATAATAAAAGAAGAGAAGGGGAAAGTCCCACTCGCCCTCTTCAGAGATATATTGATAGACAGATAAGATGGGGTTTTGGATATATTTAATGAGCACCTACTTTATTCCATTTCCTGGGGTGTGTGTTATAACATGTTTCATACCATGTAATCTTAACTACAACACTGTGAGGTAGGTGGCACAATGCCATCTTGTAATTCAGCATTTCAGTACTTACCTAATGTGTTCAAGGTCCAAGTTTCATCATGCAACTCCTGTCTTCCACCCCAAAGTCACATAAATAAAACTGGCACGGCCAACATTAAAACTATAGTGTAATTATAAACCCAGTGCTCCTCCCAGATCACCACAGTCATTTCTAGAAAAATACCCAACACATGGGCGGCCTCTTCCTTAATTGAGCTAAGAAGGGAATGAGAAAGAGGTTGGACCAGCGATTGGGAAATTTGAATTGTCCCCAAGAAGCTTTCCCAGTCTCTTACAGCTTCAAGCAAGCCACTTTTCTCTATGGGTCTCATGTTCTTTTTCTACCTATCAGCCACTTAACACTCTATCACGGCATGGAGGGTCAGCCTTGGGGTCAGTCTGAACAGGATCATGCAGTGGCTTCCTCATCCCACCCCAAGCAGAAAGTATGGAGTCCTTTGTACAGAACGGGCTGTCAAAAGCAAGAGAAGGTTTGCAGTGTAGCCCCTAGAGAGCACCCTGGTAGCTTCCCACACATTTAGGGGCAACACCTAGCCCCTGCACTATACCTGGCGATGTCTCTGGCAATTTGCTCATTGGGACAGTTGACAAAAACGATGGAGTACGAGCCAGAGACATATCTCCCAGTGAAGGAGGAGTGGAGCCAAAGGCTAAAGGTCCTGAGCATGGGAAACATCAGAACAGCTGTCAGGATCTACATGGTAGAAAAGAAAAGCACAATGTCAATGACTCCCGGCTCCACCCAGACAAAATGTTTCGCCACCTCCATTCACAAACTGATTCCTGAGGTCTGTATTCAACTTTACTACTTGGAGTATTCGTGCCCTGGGACTGGGATGCTAGTTCAGTTTGACAGAGTGTTTGCCAAGTGGCTTGAAGGCATAAGTAGATCCCCACAAGCCACAGAAAACAGGTTTGGCGATCAATGCTTGCAGTCTGAGCACTGAAGATGCGGAGTCAGCCAGCATGCTCACGGCACCACTTGTCATGGCCTAGACCAACGGTAGACTCCATCTCAAAATACAAGGTCAGGAGCAATGCATGTTCTTTCAGAGGATATGGATTCAATTCTCAGCACCCACACGCCAGCTCAGCTCACAACCATCTGTAACCCAAGTTCCAGGGAAGCTGACACAACAATCTAGCTTCTGAGGGCACCAGGCACACATCTGGTGCAAGCAAAACACCCATAAGCATTAAATAAAGAAAGAACAATATGAAAGGCTCCCAAAAAATGATATGCCAAAGTTGACTTCTGACACACACAAACACAAACACACACACACACACACACACTCACACATATTCATGCCTAGACATTTTCCTTTGCAACAAAGGGAAAAAATGGAGCATCACAAATCAATGAAGCAAAAAACCTTGCTCAAAACTATAGCTTCTGTTGAAGGCAGAATTTGAGCTCAATCTGGATGGCTTCAAATCCAGTTTTATTGCACAAAACTGTCACTGCAGGTAACTGTAGCTGTCACTCACTGAACAGTGAGCATCCTGTGAAGATTATTTTGAATGGTGAGCGCCTATCTCTCCTGATGTTTTCGTGAATAATTTCACTTGCATTCATTTATCTGTACCAGGTGTTGTGCATAGCTGAAATGCAAACATACCAGTTTTAAAATTATGCAACACATGCTACTGGAACTGTGGATTAGAAGGACCAAGAAGCAGACATGGGCATGGGGTCCAACCAGGCTTAACTGAGACGATACTTTCCGTATTGGTCACTTTCTTATTGTCATGATGAGAAGCATCTTGGCTTAAGGTTTGAGAGGCTGGGGAAGGCAGGGCAAGAAGCAGTGCTGTGGTGTGAGACAGTTACTCACATTTTATCTTGCTAAGAAGCAGAGACCAGACAGAGGCTGGCCAGGCCCTAAACCACAAGGCTTATTCCCAGCACCCAACTTCCTCCAGTTAACAGCCACTGCCTAAAAACCTCACAATGTCCAAAGCCACACCATCAGCTGGGAAACAAGTATTTAAATACATGCGTCTACCCGGGACATTTCATATTCAACCCAGAACATTCTATGCCTGGCCCCCATAGATTCTCATAATGCAAATTTTTTCGGTCTATCTTGAGAAGTCCTCATAGTCTTAGGGTTTCAACACTACTCAGAAATTCAATGTCGGGAGACTCAAGGCAATGTCCTGGCTGTGAGGCCCTGTAATTAAAAAAAAAAAAAATGCATACAATACCCTAGTATGAACATTCTCATTCCCAAAAGGAATAGGGGTTTACCATGGAAAACTGAGACAAAGCACCACCAAAACACAGCAGGGCAAACACAGATCCAGCAGGGAAGATTTCAGTGCTTCAGTGGGCCCAGTTAGTCCTTCCATAACCTCTATCAAATGTGGTGTGTGTGGTCTGTCTTGGATCAGTTCTATCAGCGTGTACAGCTTTCCTCAGTGAATACCCCATATTTCTGGCATCCCCAGTATCCTGTGATCACCATAGCAACCAAGGCTTCACCTGCACAGCTTCATACTCAGCCCACTCATGAGCCCCGTCCGTGGAATCAGACCCCGATAAAGTGTTTCCTGACCATGCAGTTTTGTGGAGCCTCTGTGCAGGTCTCCATGATCCTGTAATTTGCACTTTATGTGCCTGTAATACCAGTATCATGTGACTCAAGCCAAGTTCTGCTGCCAGCTCAGATGTAGCCTATCCCACTCAGACCACAGATGTAGTGTTCTCTGTACCTTTGAGGTTACACCTGGAAAACCACTACCCTGGGCAGCCTGTTCCAGAAGGCCACTGTAGAGGTACTCTCTGTTTAAGCACTCTCCTTTTCAAGCAGATTTGCAGTGGAACTTCCCATGGATAAGGTCTTGACCTCGAGATGCCTTTCCTAATGCCCAGGCAGCTAAACTCAGGTTGCTCCTAACGGCTAAACTGTTTAACAAGTATAGTTGTTTTCTCCATGCTGTTCTGTCCTGGACTTTTTAAAGTTAAATCAGTTCTGTTACTTATCTTTTTCTTTGTGAGGGTTTCTATTGCTGCAACAAAAACACCATGACCCAAAATCAAGTTTACAGGGAAAGAATTTATTCAGCTTTTTTTTTCTTTCTTCTTCTTCTTTTTTTTTTTTGTTTTTTTTTTTTTGTTTTTTTGTTTTGTTTTGTTTTGTTTTTCGAGACAGGGTTTCTCTGTGTAGCCCTGGCTGTCCTAGAACTCTGTAGACCAGGCTGGCTTTGAACTCAGAGATCCATCTGCCTCTGCCTCCCAAGTGCTGGGATTAAAGGTGTGCACCACCACTGCCCGGCCAGTTTATACTTTCAGATCATAGTCCATCACTGGAGGAAGTCAGGACAGGAACTCAAACAGGGCAGGCACCTGGAGTCAGGAACTAATGCAGATGCCACAGAGGAGAACTGCTTACTGGCTTGCTTCCCATAGCTTACTCAGACTGCTTTCTTATAGAACCCAGGACCAACAGCCCAGGGAAGACACCACCCACAATGGGCTGGGCTCATTGATCACCATTTGAGAAATTGCCTTACAATTGGATCTCATGGAGGCATTTCCTCAACTGAGGCTCCTTCCTCTCTAATGACTCCAGCTTGTGTCAAGTTGACACACAAAAGCAGTCAGTAGAGTCCTTGTTACACTCTGAAACCTTAGAGACACAATTCTAACCATCCACATGTACACAGGCATTCCTGCCTTCTACACTCCCAGCTCAGTGACCCACAGGCTCTATTCACAGCAGCTATGGCTTCTCTAGCCCACAACTCTGAACTGTTCCGGATTCCTCCCACAAACCAGTTCCAGTGGCATGATAAACAAGAGGGTCACCGACAGCCCTACGCCTTAGCACCAGTTTTCTGTATTAGTTACACTTGACATCATTTGATCCGATGCTTGATAAGATTCAAATTAAGAGAGGAAGGATTTATTTGGGCTTAGTTTGAGAAACACAGGCTAGGGAGATGGCTCCGTGGGAAATGTGCTTGCTGTGCAACTAGGTCTTTAGTTCAGGTCCCCAGCACCCAAGCAAAAATCCAGGCATGCCCACACATGCTCATGATCTCAGTGCTAGGAGGCAGGCAAGAGACTTTCAGGGGCCCACTGGGCAGCAGTCTAGCCACCCAGTTGGCTCCAAGTTCAAATAAATTATGTAGAGAGCTATAATGGGAGATACTCAACATTGACTTGCACAGGAGCATGTGTACACGTGAACAAACATAGACATGAATATATACATATATGTGTATATATGCTATACACACACACACACACACACACATACATACATATATCACCTTTAAAATCAGAAAATTTTAAAACAAACGAAATAGTAGTCCATCATGATGAAGGTAACGTGTGGAAGCTGGTTCTTTGCGTTTTGCAAACCAAAAAGCAGAGCTTGGAGAGGCCACACTATAAACATCAAGGCCCATCTCCAATGACCCACTTCCTCCAGAGCCTCTTGCCTTTCCAAATAGGGCAGCTAGTTGGAGACCAAGTATTCAAACACATGAGCCTGTGGCCAACATTCAAACCACAATACTGTTTGAATGGAATCTGAAATAGTAAGTCATCTATTGATGGGGGCACTAACACACTAACCAACTGCAGGGGTTCGGAAGACCTGGTTTACATGGGTCTTCCTATGTGGATGGTTATGCGAAGCTCAGGAGAAAATGAGGCTGGCTACAACTACAAAGAAAAGGGTCAGGCCAAGACGTTTGCATTTGGATTCAGGTTACAGGTACTTTGGAGGTTTTAAAGTAGGACAATAACAGTAAGCTACGGTCAATCAGAGTAGACTACTGAGCAGGCAAGGAAGCAGCCTGCTTAGAAAGCCAACTCACTGGCCCAGAAGCCCTCAAGATGCTGAGTAATGTGACAGCAACCACGTGAGAAAACATGTCAACTGTCATTTTCTTATTCTCTTCATGACAGAGGGAAAGACCTGAAGTGCCTTCCATTCCAGGGTCATCAAAGAATCATTAAAAGGGGCAGCAGCAACCTAGGAGTCAGGCTGGGACCTAGCCAGGCTGAGCCACTACGCCCCTCCTGCCTCCCAGCTAGGCTTATGTTCCTTCTCTAGTGAACTCTGCCCTTCTCTATTTTACATCATCACGTGAGTCCTCACACTAGCTCTCGATAGACCCTGAATAGTGTTCTTGTTCTGTTTTTACATTAAAATAAATTCATATGTGTTTTGCATGTGTGCATATCTGTACACCACATGCATGTCTTGTGCCTGCAAAGGCCAGAAGATCCCACTGGAACTGGAGTTATGGGTGGTTGTGAATTATTGTGTGGGTGCTGAGAACCAAACCCAGGTCCTCTGCAAGAGCAGCCAGTGCTCCTAGCCACTGAGCCATCTCTCTGGCACACTGTGTAACGTTTTTGATGTTCTGGCTGAAATCTTCTTATGTCTTGGTACTTCTACTAGCGCCTCCATTTCAAGACAGTCTCCTACACTTCTGAACTGACCTGGTAGCCATGCAGCAAAAAAAGAACCAGCCTTTTCAAGGAAGCTATCGCTGTTGTTTCTTTAAGGGAAACTCATTGGGTTATAGGAAGAAATTCAAAGCACTGGAGGGCCAGGGGGATTTGGACTGTCACGCCACTGTTGCTAACAGCTTGTGACTTCTAACAAGGTACAAGTGACTTCCTCTCCTCCTATCAGCCTCAGTGAGGACCTGAAGATGAGGATGCTCATGCTGCCTGAGTTGCCAGGGTTCTGATGAGAAGTGCAATCTGCAATCACTAACTCAATAAAGGAAGGGCTGTGCTTTATGACCACAGTCCTAGCCTAGCTCCTTGTACATGGCAGGCTCTTTATAAATACTTTCAGGCTAGTAAAAGAGACTGGCAGTAAGCAAATAAGTGGCACCAAGATTAGCTATCTTGGTGAAGTAAGTAGGGCTTGGGAGCCACCCACTGTAAGTGTTACTGGCCTGGCTGCAATACACATATGCTTAAGAGACACGTTCCCACCGGGCAGTGGTGGCACACACCTTTAATCCCAGCACTTGGGAGGCAGAGGCAGGCGGGTTTCTGAGTTTGAGGCCAATCTGGTCTACAGAGTGAGTTCCAAGACAGCCAGGGCTACACAGAGAAACCTTGTCTCAAAAAACCAAAGAGAGGGAGAGAGAGAGAGAGAGAGAGAGAGAGAGAGGTGTCCCTCAATCTGACCAATAGACTATTGAAACAATGGACCCAAGAAACTAGCCTTAACCCAGGATCCTCATGCTAGGAAAAGAAAAAGGTTGTTCTTAACACTGGCCAGAGAGGGAACTTTACTCCCAGAAATAGATTGCACATAGTGGCTTGCTGGACCACCTGGTTGGAGACTGGACCCCAGAAGATGATGGGTCACTGATGGTGAATAACCTTGACCTGTACAGCCTAGATGTCCTGATCCCTGGTTCTTTAAATCTCGATTCACTAGGACAGGTTTGGTGGGAATCACTAGGCACAGTCTCTTCATCGCTGGCTGTTTTAATTGACACCTCAGTGGCAGCTGGGGCACAGAATGAGTCCCCCAGTTCAAGTTCCCTAACATGAGACTTGAGCACAACTGTAAGCAAAAGGAACACTTGTCAATGACCCAAAAACACAGAACAAGGATGCTGATGTAATTGGAAAGGAAAGAGGCACCCTCAGTCTGTTCCTCAACTGACATAGCCGGGAAGATCTGGGGCATTTCAGCAGATAAATGCCCTGGAAGCATGAAATGGGCTCACAGCCAAAAATCTAAGAGGCAAGAGACCATCCAACACTATCTAAGACAATTCTCGACTCAAGGTAACCAGAGGCAAGGGATACAGAAACTCAAGCCAGGGTGATCTTTGTCCTCCAGGGGACTGAACAGTATCTGGAGACTGTCTTGACTCACGACTGGGAATGCGATGCTCTCGTCAGCTAGTAAGGAGGGATCAGAACTGCCATCACTGTGGTTGCTACCACCTCCCCCATTGGACAGGAAGTTGTCATTCCTAATCACTTCTGTATTGACACCACCATAGCACGTTAACGGAGTATCATAAGCATGAAAGATCAGCGTGGACTCAATAATGAATGGTAGTTTAGAAAATGATTTTTTTTTTCTGGTTTTTCGAAACAGGGTTTTTCTGTGCTGTCCTGGAACTCACTCTGTATACCAGGCTAGCCTCGAACTCTCAAACTCAAAAATCCACCTGCCTCTGCCTCCCAAGTGCTGGGATTAAAGGCGTGTGCCACCACTGCCTGGCTAGAAAATGATTTTTATGACTGCAAAATTGATGAGTGGGAAAGCACCCTACTCCCTGACAGAAACACTGTAACAGAAGGCAGCTGCTCTCCCCACTGTCAACACCATACCAAACACTCACTTTAATGGGAAAGGAGCTGACTGTAATTTGTATGTTGTGTGTGTACCCTCGCATACATGTGCTTGAGAAGACCAGAGGTCAATGTTGGGTGTCTTCCTCAGTTGCTTCCCACCTTTTTAAAAAATATTCGTTTTTTAAAAAAAAGTTATACAATGTTGCCAGCATTATAAATCATTATAAATCTCAGCACTGGGTGTAAACCCATACACCTTATTTAATACTACAGACTGATAATATGAATGGAGATTGAAAAATATGGAACGCTTCACGAATTTGCATGTCATCCTTGTGCAGGGCCGGGTTAATCTTCTCTGTATTGTTCCAATTTTAGTATATGTGCTGCCACTAGTATATGAAGTGAGCACTTAAAATATTCTTTTGAAATTAAAATATAATTGTTATTCTCTCTTCTCTTCCCCCTCCAACCCTCGCACTTTCCCTTTCTTTGTTACTATTGTACATACATAAACACAAAAATATATACAAATACCACATGCTCAATCTAGCTAGTGTTGTGTGTGTGTGTGCGTGTGTGTGTGTGTGTGTGTGTGATTTGGGCGCTGACCACTTGGTGTTGGATTCCCAGTTAGGGAGCTCATCCCTGGGGAAGACTACTGCTGCTCTCAGAATTCCTTAGTTGCCTGTAGTTCTTTGTCTAGAGTCATTTTATGTTTTGTGACAGGGTCTCTCATTGACCCTAGAGCTCATTGGTTCAACTAGGCTGGCTGGTCAATGAACTCCGGGGTCTCCCTGTGCTGCAGCCCCCAGCATTCCTAGTGCTGAGGTCAATGAACTCCGGGGTCTCCCTGTGCTGCAGCCCCCAGCATCCATAGTGCTGAGGTTACAGATGCGTGCTGCTGTACCTGGCTCTTCTTTACATAGCTTCTGGGGATCTAAATGAGGCTCACAGCCAGCTCCTTACTGACTAAGCCACCTCCCCAAATTGAGTTTTAGATAAATGTCTTCACATTATAAAGGGTTTATACTTTATATCTTTTGTATCTTTGCTATACAGCTTTTCTAATTTTACATTTATATAAAATATATGTATCTGTGCAGTTATTTCTTACTTGGCCCTGCCATTATCCCTTTTTTCCTTTCTTTCTTTCTATTTTTCTTTTTTAGACAATCTTGCTGTATGCCCTTGGATAGCCTGAACTCATTATGTAGATCAGGCGAGCCTCGAACTTGCAGGGATTCTGTTGCCTCAGCCTATGTTGGGATCACAGGAGTGCACCACCATGCCGGACTCCTTTCTCTCTGTCCTAGAGTATTTACCGTGGCCTTTAAGAAAGCAATCAGCTTCACAAGTCTGGGATGAGGCAGAGGAAGCCTCACCTAATCCAGTGGATTAAACTTTTAACCAACCTAGCTTTAAGGAATCTGTAAAGACCTTGAGATCAACACAACTTTCAGCTTATACGTTTTTCTGGCTACAAATCCAGAACTTAAAAAAAAAAATCCTCAAATAGATTTACAGCCGTTTTCACAAATAAGGAAATAGTGGCCAGAGAAAGAGAGTAATCACTCCAAATGAGGGCACCAGAATCTGGCACACACAACCTTGGGTTCCGTCGCTCCTACAGTCCGTCCTCACTACTATTGGCAGCTTCTATGCGGTCTACATTCGCTTTCTCGGACACTTCAGAGATGAGATGGCAGCCTGCCAAAAGCAGGGGAAAGCATGATGGTAACTGCGACAGGGCTTAGGAGAGACTGCACCTCAAGCGCTCCTCCCCTCAGACAGCACAACCCCTTACCCCTTCGAGGCAGGCATGAAAGGGTGCTGGTAACCCATTAACACTGGACGGTCTCCAGGACCGTAAGGACTTCCAAGAATCTCAACTGTTCTCCACAAAGCTGCCCACACTTCAGACCCCAAGAGCAGCGAAGAGAAATAACCTTTCCTTCAGTTTTTTCTCCCTCAGTCCCCAGGTAAAAGCTTCAGGACCAGGAGGACGGTATAATAAACCCGGCCACTCACCAGGAGGCATGTGAGGACGAACAGCCGGAGGAAGCCGGGTGGAGGGCATCGTGATTCTGGCCTCTCCATGGCGGTGCTGGGGGTTTAGCCCTAGGCGGTAATCGTGAACTACAACCTCAGGTAGGGTGCGGGCTAGTAGGCAGGCACTGAAGCCTAAACTGCAACCTCCTCCCCCCTCAACACACACCTTTTTCTAGGACACTATCCAGCTCTGCCCCTCCCAGCCGGGCTGGCCAGCCGACTGCCAGCAGCCAGGGAAAGCCATTTTCTGTTTGTTTCTCCCCCCCCCCCCCACTAGTTACACCTCTCCCGAGCTTACATTTCAGAGCTACTACTCTTACAAAAACTACTGCTACTTTTCCTTCCTATTCATTAAACCATATAAGTAGACAGACAAAAACACAAAGCCTTTCTTAGGAAACAAAACCTGAAACCCCAGCACACAAAGCTGGAGCACACATATAAAATCCTTCTGTCAACAGGCCAAAGCCACCCACAAAAACCGGCAAGTGAATTGGGTACACACACACACACCACACATCGAATTGGTTCTCTGGCCATAACGCCTTTATTTAGTTCTAGTGCTCCAGAAGCAGAGGCAGGTGGATCTCTGTGAGTTTGAAGCCAGCCTGATCTATAAAGCAAGTTCCAGGTAACAGGGAAACCACGTCTTTAACCCATCCTCCAACACACACACACACACACACACACACACACACACACTTGAATACAAAAGGAAGAAAGAGAAAAAAAAAACTGCTTCTCTGTCACCATCTCCTTCCCTCCTGCTCCCCTCCCTGTACCCAGTAAACTAATTCCTCTCTTCCCAGACTAGTGGCTCCAGGAAGCCTTTCCTAGAATTCAGCCTAGTGTCATCATACATACACAGTTAGAAGCACTGCACTCCAATGGAGGGGGGGGGGTGCTGCCACACACTGGAAAAGCAGTAAGCCAGTGGCTGAGTGTTGTCTTCCAGGAATGCAGAGTCCTCATTTGCTAGAGTTTCTAACTGTTTGAAAAATACTTTACTCTATGCTTGGAGAAACGGCTCAGTACTTAAGAACAATTGTTGATTTTCTCAGGACGCAGGTTTGGTTCCCAGAATCCATATGTCATCTATAACTCTGTTCTAGAGGATCCAACACCTCCAAAGGTGCCAGACATACACTCAGGCAAACACTCACACACATAAAAGTAAATACATCTAAAAATATCTATATTCTTTTAGTTCTTTGGATTTTTTTCAAATGAAAGCTATATTTTGTCCATTTATTTATTTAATGTATCTGTGTGGTTTTGGTACACTGCCTTGTTGCACCTATGGGAGTCAAAGACTCTTTGCATGAGTCCATTCTCTTTTGTTAACCATGTAGATTTTGTCTGAGGAACTGAACTTGGCAGCAAGTGGACTTGCCTGCTAAGCTATGCTGCATTGGCTCGAAGATTTCCAAATTTTTAATTTAGCTCTTCAATGTGACATACCCTAATTTGACAATGATCACAACTCTAGACACAGGATAAAAGACACAGCATAAACTGGTTATGGAACTGGTTTTGCATGGTTTGTTACGGTTATGGTTTTGTATCTAGATTATTCTGGGGTGGGTGTGTGTTTTAGTTCAACAAAATATAAACTTACACTAGTGAGTTTGAGCCAGAGAGATACCTCATTAGGTAAAGGTGTTTGCCACCAAACCTGATAAATTAAGTTCAATTCCAGAACCCAAATGATGGAAAGAGAGCAAGTTGCCCTCTGACCTCCACACGTGTTGTAGAACATGTGTGTGTCTATGTGCCAGCACTTAGACTATGTGCCACGGTGTGGTATCCAGAAGACAACATGTACGAGTCAGCTTTCTCCTTACACGATAAGGAATGGGACTCAGATCTTCATGACAGCAAGTACCTTCACCTGCTGAGCCACCTCAGGCGCAGGACCCATGTCAATTGCAAGCAGTGAGGACTGAGGCCTGGCGTGGGCAACAATCACTTGCCTTAGAATTATCTTTAATCTGTGGTTGCAGGGACTGGTCTCCTTGTCTCTGAATATAGACTCTTGGTTCACTTTTCCTAATAGTAATCTTAACCAATCAATTCTACCGCCTTTTTAAATCTCATCAGCTCTAGGGAAACGTGTGGCCATTCATAACACACTCCTAAAGTTTCCAGCAAGCTTTAGAAATGGCTGTGTGTCTTCTTCATTTTTTATTTTTAACTTCTTTTACAATTACTAAAAGTAGTATAAGGCTGCTGTGCTACTTATGTGAGGTGTGTTTTCTTCTTCAACACAACGAGCAAAGTGGTCAAATGTCTTCTTGATATATTAATTCCTGAATATCTCAAAAATATTATGATCCAAGGGCTACAGAAAACAAGCCTCTGGGAGTTTGGGGGCGGGGGTTATCGTATCATAGTATCGATATTTAGGGTGAGCAAATGAGTTTGAATGTCTGGGACTTCTGTTCATAATCACCAGCACCTTTAACTCAAGACTTTTCTCTGCCAATTAGCTTGTAGGCTTCAAGGGTACGAGATTCGTGAAGTGACGCAAAGAGAAGGCAATGGTTAGTGATACTACTCGTGCACGGCATAAAACGGGGAAATGGTTGTTTAACCTTCTCCAAAAGACAATTGGGATTAGGGTCTTTGTAAAGTTGCAGAATTTTAGTCACCTGAGTCCCTGACATGCACACAGCTTTCTGGATTTTTGTCTCTTCCCTTAAAAGTACAGGAAGTCATGCTTTCCCAAACAGACTCATCTCCTTGGCACAGAGAACCAAACGAAGTCTACAACTCTGACCAGACTTTCCAACGGCTTGAAATAGTTGGATGTCAACTAGCTTTTAATGGTTCTTCTCCAACAATCCCGCGTTTCGCAGATGGCAGCGATTTTTTAACTTTTTTTCTCTCTCTTTCATGAAACTTATATGGATTGTCCTTGACCACTGGTTTTCACCAGATACTTCTATGTGCATTTGGCTTGCTTGCAAATGGCCTTCAGAGTCTGAGGCCAGCCAGCCCTTCCATGGTCTGCTCCTCCACTCCGCACTAAATGCCGGGTCTATCCTTCAGATGATGACGTCACGCGTAGAATCTCTGCACACTAGCCCCGAACGTCTCTTAATCAGGCTTTCCATTGGCTGACAGATGTCAAAACGTCCATTTATTCACGCCTGTGTTCAAGTTTTCGGGGACCATGTACCTCATCTTGATGCCCATCTGGACTCGGATTCGGATTCACTCATCCCGGTTCCGCCACGGAGGCCTTTGGGGAGAGCATGCACAAAGCCTTTCGATTCCCTGGGCGTTCAGATCCTCACAGTTACCTCGGCCGCCGGAAGCCTGCCAATCGCAGGATCCCCCGTCCGCAAAGAAAGGGGCGGTGACCGCTCTGAGCAAGGATCTCGCGAGACTTGACAGATCTGTTGTGAGGCTACGCTCCCTCAGATCTCGCGAGATTCGGAGAGGCGCTCTAGGAACCTGGTAGGTGGGCGGGCAGACAGGAGCCAGGAAGATGGCGGCTCAGGCTGTGTCGCTCCTGCGGGAGGTGGCGCGGCTGGAGGCGCCGCTGGAGGAACTGCGTGCGCTGCAGTCTGTGGTGCAGGCTGTGCCGCTCCACGAGCTTCGGGAGCAGGCGGCAGAGCTACGCCTCCGCCCTCTGTTCTCCTTGCTTAACCAGAACAATCGGTGAGAGAACCCCGGGGTTTGGGTGGGTAGGGATGGATGGCTGCAGTGGTTTTTCGCAGAAAAGTCAAGGTTGTCCGACTGCAAAAATTCCACAACTGTGTGTTAACCAGGTCTTGAGGGTTCACCTCTTCAGAAGGGATCTTCTGCTGGTACTGTGGCGGGATCCATCGCACGCCTTTTAATGTCAGTGTCCAGTGAATGCTTGTCTACTTCAGTTAAAATGTACGGTGTAACAGTTTTGTGAGACAGCAAAACTTTAAACTAGAAACAACCAAATTAAGAACATAAATTATAGCTGCGTAACGTTGTGCAGCTATTGAAGTTTGAGGTCGATCCGGGTATTTGAATATGAAAAATGTTGAATGTGAAAAAGGAAAACTAAAAAGCATATGTGTAAATTAATCCATTTTATACCCCTTACAAGCGAGAGTAAACTGCATAACCCAGGAGTATATGTAGAAATCATTACTGTTGCATCTGGAGTTAAAATGTTAGGATAGCAACCTTTGATTTAATATGCATCAATAATATGAAATTAAAAACGTCTTGTATTTGTTAATGATTTGATGTATTTTTTTTAAAGATTTATTTATTTTATTTATGAATAGTACACTGTAGCTGTCTTCAGATACACCAGAAGAGGTCATCCAATCTCATTACGGATGGTTTTGAGCCACCATGTGGTTGCTGGGATTTGAACTCAGGACCTCTGGAAGAACAGTCAGTGCTCTTAACCACTGAGCCATCTCTCCAGCCCTTGATGTATTTTTTTAATTTGAAAAGATAGTGAACTTCAGTCAGTCAACACTGAATGCATTCTGACCTCTCTTATGCTATGTCTCTCCTCAGTATAAGCTGTCATTCTCTTCTTCTTGCTTCCTCTGTTGCGTTGGTTTTAACGATCAGCATTTTAATGGTTATTTTCCTTTTCTGACTAGCCCTCACCCTACAACCAGAATTAATGTCTCAGGTCAGTTGGCTTGGCTTGTCCATGGTTACCCTTGCCTACTGTGTGAAATCATGATTGTGTAGTTTGGTATTTGGGCCCTTCCTGGTATATTTCCAGTCTGCTTTTCCAGGCTAATCTTAATTTGCTCCACTGAGTTCATCTGTCCCACCTACCGTGTAACACCACTAACGTTCCTGGGGCATGACTTGCACTTTCTGAACTCCACTCATACAAGTTCTGCTGACTAAGGACCAGCCGATGTGCCATCTCTCCAGAAAGTCTTTCTCCAGCTACAGTTGGTTCTTCCTCAGGCACTGTAATGGACGTTATCATTGTTTCTGTTTATAACTGGACACCTTTCCCTTGTGATAGTTCTGTGTGTATCTTTGTAGTTTATAAGATTTCTGAAGACAGGAGCCGCCTTTCTTCCTCTCTTCATCTGCCCTGAAGCACAGTACATAAAATACA